TTCCACAGTATGCATCCGATGAAGTGAGCTGTAGCTCACGAAAGCTTATGCTCAAATAAATTGGTTAGTCTCTAAGGTGCCACAAGTACTCCTTTTCTTTTAGCCATTCACAGTCTTTGTTTAATCCTGAGCTGATGGTATCAAATTTGCAAATGAACTGAAGCTCAGCAGTTTCTCTTTGAAGTCTTGTCCTGAATTTTTTTGCTGCAGGATGGCTACCTTTAAATCTGCTATTGTATGTCCAGGAAGTTTTTGTATATTGCTGTTCCTAATATCTGATTTGTGTCCATTTATCCTTTTACGTAGGGACTGTCCAGTTTGGCCGATGTACATATCAGAGGGGCATTGCTGGCACATGATGGCGTATATTACATTGGTGGACGTGCAGGTGAATGAACCAGTGATGGTGTGGCTGATCTGGTTAGGTCCTGTGATGGTGTCGCTGGTGTAGATATGTGGACAGAGTTGGCATCGAGGTTTGTTGCATGGATTGGTTCCTGAGTTAGAGTTACTATGGTGCGGTGTGTAGTTGCTGGTGAGAATATGCTTCAGGTTGGCGGGTTGTCTGTGGGCAAGGACTGGCCTGCCTCCCAAGGCCTGTGAAAGTGACGGATCATTGTCCAGGATGGGTTGTAGATCACTGATGATGTGTTGGAGAGGTTTTAGCTGAGGACTGTATGTGATAGCCAGTGGAGTTCTGTTGGTTTCTCTCTTGGGCTTGTCTCGCAGCAGGAGGCTTCTGGGTACACATCTGGCTCTGTTGATCTGTTTCCTTATTTCCTCGTGCGGTTATCATAGTTTTGAGAATACTTGGTGAAGATCTTGTAGGTGTTGGTCTCTGTCTGAAGGGTTCATTCACCTGCATGTCCACCCAATGTAATATGTGCCATCATGTGCCAGCAGTGCCCCTCTGCTATGTACATTGGCCAAACTGGACAGACCCTAAGTAAAAGGATAAATGGACACAAATCAGATATTAGGAATGGCAATATACAAAACCCTGTAGGGGAACACTTCAATCTCCCTGGACGCACAATAGCAGATTTAAAGGTAGCCATCCGGCAGCAAAAAAACTTCGGGACCAGACTTCAAAGAGAAACTGCTGAGTTTCAGTTCATTTGCAAATTTGACACTATCAGCTCTGGGTTAAACAAAGACTGTGAATGGCTAGCCATATTTATTTCACCTACAAAAGCAGTTTCTCCTCCCTTGGTGTTCATACCTCAACGCTAGAAGAGGGCCTCATCCTCCCTGATTGAACTAACCTCGTTATCCCTAGCCTGATTCTTGCTTGCATATTTATACCTGCCTCTGGAAATTTCCACTACATGCGTCTGACGAAGTGGGCATTCACCCACGAAAGCTTATGCTCCAATATGTCTGTTAGTCTATAAGGTGCCATAGGACTCTTTGCTACAAAAATGTGTCTACCAGACTCAGGTTCAGTTTGGCTCTTCCATTCTTAGCAGAGGGAGTGCCAGGAGCTGCTCTGCTCTGGAGCTTAGGTGTGCTGCTGGAGTACAGCCACAGGAGCACTCTGCTATGGAGTGTCCATTGTGTCATGCGGAACACAAGGCCAGTCTAGAGTGGAGCTGGAGAGCCAGAAAGGAGAGCAGGGAAAAGAAAACTCATTTGATTTTAATGCTATGAACTGTACATGGACAAATTCTTCAAGCACTAGAGGGCCTGATCTAACTCACAGTGCAGTCAGTGGCAGTCTTTCCATTGGCTGCAGGAGGAGTTGGACTGGGGCTATGGTCACCACAAAGGAGTGTGGTGAACATGAATAAGAACCTGACTTGGAAGCTGGAAGGACAAGTATCCATGAGACAATCTCTTTCTTCAGAAAGTGAAGAAACTCTGGTTTAGCAGAGAGAGCTAGTCCTAGGGATGTGCAATTGTTTGGCAACCTGTAGTTGCCTCTTCGACATTCACAACATTCCGGGACAGGGCATGGCGGGCTGCATGAACTGGCACCCCTTGCAGGTACTTCCTCTAAAAATAGGCCAGACTAGCACTGCTAGTAGATCCGACTAATGGGAAATGTTTTACAATCTCCATTATCATTATTCCCCCAACTCAACCTAGCCATCTTAAAGTGGCTGATTTCTTGTAGGCCTTGTGGCAGATGCAAGTCTTGAGAAGGGATTTAAAGAAGGAGAGGGATGAATCAGTTCAGGAATGGGATCCATTGGATGAGGAGCAGCGTGTAAGAAATTGCACAGATGTTTTGGGGAGGAGTAGAGAAGTAGGTGGTCCAGGCTGGTCTCATTAGCAAAGGAGAATAGGGCCAGGAGTGACATGATAAAAGACAGACATAGATAAGGAAGGAGGGGTAAACCTGGGAAGGGCCTTGAAAGCGGGAACAAGAAACTTGAACTTCATGAGGTGTAAGAGGGGAAGTTAGTAGAGGGATTCGAAAAGGAAGAGGATGTGACCAGAAGAACAGTCAAGAAGTACAGCTTTAGCAGCTGTGCTTTATACAGACTGGAAGAAGATGATGTTGGTGTCAGGGAAGCTGAAGAGGAGCAGGTTACAGTATTTACGATATGTGGTGATGAATGCCTTGATCAGAGTTTTTGAGTCTGGACAATAAAAAGCAGGATTCTAAAAGCATTATGGAAGAAGAAGTGGAAAGATTTGGAAACAGTCTGGATTTATGGGGAAAGGAGAGGGAATGATTCCTGGGTTATGGGTCTGATTGCCAAGCAGGATGGAGATATTGTCAAGAGTAACAGACAATGCAGGGTTTGTGTGTGTGTGTGCATATTGAGCCTTAATTTACTTTCTGTTAAATTTCATTCCATTCCTCCCAGTGTTGATTTCATGTGTGACTGAAGCTCGTAACTCTGTGATTAGTGCATGGGGTCCCTGTCTGAGTGGGTTTGCTTGATATATCCCAGCACTGTGCAGCCTTTGTGGACATCAATTAGTTGCTGTTGCAATGAACTCTTCTCTTACATGTCCTGTGGTGTGCTTGTTCAGATTACTGACATTAAAATGAACTTCTGTTTTTGCCAGGAGTTAACCCTGGAGGACCAACCAAGTGTCATGTCAGGTTCTGCAGGCTCCATTCAGCAATAATCCCCTGAGTCACTCTCAGTTAGAGATGGGCTCAAATCACAAAATCTGTGTCTGGACACCTCATAGTTCAAGATCCTTGGTTTTGGTTTGATCCATCATAACGATAGGTGCTGTTTGCAAAATCTGGATCTAGTTCTATGTGGAGATTTCAAATACTCCAAAGATTGGGGTTCTTCTTAGCCAGGGTTTTGGTCTGGGCCTGTCACTACTCTCAATGAAACTGTTTATTCCAGCTCTGAAGAGAAGAACATTAACAGACTCTGACACTGATTTCTCCTTCCTTTAATACTGCCTCCCCTTTATGTTCTGTTCATTTCTTAATTTATGAACATGTATTTTACCACTAGATGTCCTTAGTTCTCATGCCGATCCCACAATAGCATAACCAGAGACCCAGAATCCTACAGCAATTGGTGATTGTATAATAACTGATTTATAAGAATGGCTATTCTCTGTCAGCATTATTGGGTTACCCAGCCGCTCTCAGAAACCATTTACGTAACTGCTGAGAAAATACAAGCTTCCAAATATTGTATAGTAATTATGGGAAAGTATAACAGAAAGAGAGAAACATTGCTGAGGCATTTGGTAGTGAAAGGAACATTCTCACATGCACATTTGTAACCACTAAGGAATGACAGACCTTAATTTCTTTACTAGCAAAATATCTTCCACTTTTCTACTCTGACCACCTTCCTACAAATGTTTCCACAACAATGAAGTTAAAAGGATTTTCTTTCTCTCCCTATTAATAGCTGCCCAATAATGGCAGGTGTGCAAGAGGCAAAACATTGTGTATTTGTACAATATTCCTGAAGATGTCCAAAACTACATTTAGTGTGTGTGTGTGTGTCTTATATATATACACACACACTTCCTTTATATACCACTTTCTCCCATGCAGTATGCAGTGTTAATACTTGTATATACAACAGAGGGTGAAAAACGTAATGTTTTCTGAGAATGAAGACAATATTTAACTCCAGGTGACCAAAGACTGTCTCAACCTTGAATGGTGATCTTGGGGTACAGTACTTTATTTCAGTGGTGTAGCTTTTTTTTTCATGTTCTGTTTTGTAGAAGGAACACTCATCCTACCTTGGTTTGCTTGTTTGTTTATATTTTTCCCCTCCAGAAAGCCCATTGCTGACCCCGCACGGTGGTACTGCTGTTTCACAAAGCTGGAGTCAACACGCATGTAGGAGAGAGGGTTGTCACTCTGGCAATTTGTCCTTCCCAAATAGATGTGACTGTTTTGCTAGCTTTCTTTCCCTTATTTATTCCTTTTGGTTAATTCGTTTGTGGGAGTTGGTGGCTTTTTGTTTTTGTTTAACCTGGAGGGTTAGCTATGCAATTTGGCTTCTTCAGTGCCAACCAACTTGAGTAGCACAGAGCTCTTAAAAAAACCACCCCCTTCTTGCTGTATCTTGCCCCTTTTCCACACTCTGCTGCTCCCACTCAAGCAAAGTTTACAGAATCACTCTTTTATTTGTAGATCTTTAGACCGTGGGAAGGGAAGCTTTGAAAAGAGGAATAAAATCTCATTGCAACCAAGTCCTTCAATCAGGCTGAATTAACTGCCAATTAAAACATAATTCCATTCCTATTAAGATGGATGAGTTCCCTCTGAAACTGGGAGCTGCTGATTTCTTTCTTCCTCTCACTTTATTTTAAAAAATTTTTTAAGAGCTCTGAACAAATTACTGCTTTGCCAATGGGGAATTGGGCAGGGATTACTCTGATTTTTTGTGTGCCCAGCAGCGAAAGGGTTAATGCCTGCTTTCCTCTTTGGTATCCGCTAGTTGCAGCCCATGTTGTGATCAGTCCATGTCCATGTGCATTTTGTCCCCCAATTTAATAACAAGTAATTAAAAAAGTAAACAGTAATAACAACAGTCCTCTCCAATTTTCTCCAGGACACCCTACCTGCCTGCAATTCACCACAAACATGACGGAGGCTGTAAAAACCTATAAGTGGCAATGCATTGAGTGCAAATCCTGCAGCCTTTGCGGGACCTCTGAAAATGATGTGAGTTGGTTTTTTTTTAAATGTAAATTAGTGCTGGTGAAAGCGACTGCAGTGACTGCCCTAGAATACTGTCCTCTGGTTCACTACAAAACTGTAAAACACTGGCAGCAGCGATGGGTCACTCCTCCATTGCTCTTTCAGTATACCTGAGCCCTGACATGGAAAGAACCTCTCTGGTCCAGTTGCAGTGACTCATTTAATCATTTGTTTCTCCTGAGATTATCATGGGTGTCATATAAGGCCACTTTAGACGATCGTATTTGTGATTTGGACACTTGTCCCATAGAAACTGGACTGAAGCCACAAACCCAATGTCACATAGGTCATTGAACAGCTGTAATCTGGGCTGGATTTGAATGGGTGATGGTCTAGAGATGGCAGGTCTATCTCCTATTACTAATCCCCCCGTGTCACCCAATTTGAAGCTCATATGAATTTCAATTTTTATGATAAAACCCAAAACCATGGAAACATTTGGGTTGGAAGGGACTTTTTATTGATAATCTAGTCCATTTCCTTTGCTCCATAGCAAGATAGACGTCAAGCAGCTCTCTGGATTTTGTTTTTAGCAATAAAACAGAAAAATCTTAAGAGTCTGGGTGCATTCTGTTTTAAGAGCGAAGGGGGGATTTTCAGTGCAGTATATGGGTGTTGCCTATCCAAACAGAGTTTTTTTTGTGACAATGTGAAGAGCTACAGTCCTCGTGATAGGAACAGCTCATTTACATGTGAGCCACTGAACAGACCCCCCTCACTAACCTGCTGAACTTTGCTAAATTTGTTCTGTCCAGGCTGGAGAGTAAAAAGGTCCTGGCAAGAAAGGATTCTCTGGACTAGGTAACACCAGAGATGATCAGAGGAATGGAGAACCAACCTTTTGAGAGGAGACTTAAGCTTGGCTTGTTTAACCTAACCAAATGAAGGCTGAGGGGAGATATGATTGCTCTCTATAAATAAACCAGCGGGATAAGTACCAGGGAGAGAGCGGAGTTATTTAAGTGAAGGGCTAGTGCTGGAAGAAGAACACATTGGATATAAACTGGCCGTCAGCAAGTTTAGGGTTAAAATTAGGTGACGGTTTCTAACCATCAGAGGAGTGAAGTTCTGGAACAGCCTTCCAAGGGGAGCAGTGGAGGCAAAAACCGAACTGGTTTCAAGACTGACCTTGATAAGTTTACGGAGGTGGTGATATAATGAGACTGCTTACAATAGCATGTAGCCCATCTGTGGCTGCTAGTAGTAAATATCCCCAATGGCTGGAGATGGGACACTAGATGGGGAGGGCTCTGTGTTACTACAGATCATTCTTTCCCGGATCTCTGGCTGGTAGGTCTTGTTCACATGTTCAGGGTCAAACTGATCACCATTTTTGGGGTCGGGAAGGAATTTCTCTCTGTGTAAGATTAGCAGACACCCTGGGAGGTTTTTTTGCTTTCCTCTGAAGCATGAGGCATGGGTCACTTGCTGGTTGAACTAGAGTAAGTGGTGAATTCTGTGTAACTTGAAGTTTTAAAATCATGATTTGAGGACTTCAGTAACTCAGACAGAGGTTATGGGTCTATTACAGGAGTGGGTGGGTGAGGTTCTGTGAATCATAGAATCATAGAATATCAGGGTTGGAAGGGACCTCAGGAGGTCATCTAGTCCAACCCCCTGCTCAAAGCAGGACTGATGCCCAATTAAATCATCCCAGCCAGGGCTTTGTCAAGCCTGACCTTAAAAACTTCTAAGGAAGGAGATTCCACCACTTCCCTAGGTAATGCATTCCAGTGTTTCACCACCCTCCTAGTGAAAAAGTTTTTCCTAATATCCAACCTAAATTTCCCCCACTGCAGCTTGAGACCATTACTCCTTGTTCTGTCATCTGCTACCACTGAGCACAGTCTAGATCCATCCTCTTTGGAACCCCCTTTCAGGTAGTTGAAAGCAGCTATCAAATCCCCCCTCATTCTTCTCTTCTGTAGACTAAACATCCCCAGTTCCCTCAGCCTCTCCTCATAACTCATGTGTTTCAGTCCCCTAATCATTTTTGTTGCCCTCTGCTGGACTCTTTCCAATTTTTCCACATCCTTTTTGTAATATGGGGCCCAAAACTGGACACAGTACTCCAGATGAGGCCTCACCAGTGTCGAATAGACGGGAACGATCATGTCTCGATCTGTTGGCAATGCCCCTACTTATACAGCCCAAAATGCCATTGGCCTTTTTGGCGACAAGGGCACACGGTTAACTGGGAATTGGTCCTGCTTTGAGCAGGGGGTTGGACTAGATGACCTTCTGGGGTCCCTTCCAACCCTTATATTCTATGATTCTATGATTCTATGATTCTATAACTCATATCCAGCTTCTTGTCCACTGTAACCCCTAGGTCCTTTTCTGCAGAAAAGGCCTGCAATGTGCAGGAGGTCAGACTAGATGACCATGATGGTCCATTCTGGCCTTTAAATCTATGAGGGTATAATGAAGTGGAAAATCCAATTTCATATATGGGTGTGGTCCGGGGATAAATGCCTCTCCATTTATCTGATCTTGCTGGTGGATTCCCGCAGCTCAAAGGGAGATTTATCAGTTAGAAATTCAAGCTGTCTTGTTCAATTCAGATGTGGCCAGAAAGGGTTGTTGTGGCAAAGTAAGGAGAGTGTGGTGGTTGACCCTGGAAGCAGAAATGTGAGGTTTTGTAAATCCATTCATGTTCCGTATGTGCTTATTGTTAAAGCTATGTTCAAAAGTGTGCAGTACTGATTTACATATGCTTTTGTTCCCACCTCAGCAATAGACTAATCAACATTCTCTTTCTCTCTCTCTCTCTCTTCCTCCCTCCCCCCCACACCGCCAACAATTCTGCTTCAGGACCAGCTGCTCTTCTGTGACGACTGCGACCGTGGCTATCACATGTATTGCTTAAACCCACCAGTGTCCGAGCCTCCAGAAGGTAACATGTTCTGGAAGTCTACATTGAGAGCAACAGAAGGGCCCATGGGGAGGAGGGAGGAAATCAGAAGGTGGCCGTGGGCAAGGTGGGTGAAGGAATTGGGAACCAGACTCAGAGCAATGAGGCAGAGGCAAAATGTCAGGTAGCTTTGTAGTGCACATCTGATTGCTAACAGTTGGCTTACCAGGGAGGCAGATCAAGGACCCAGTCCTGAAGGAAAACAAGAGACCATTTGGAAGGGCTGAAGATTCTGTACTGGGGGAAGCCTGAGCTAGACGTCTCCTGTCTAGTGGGGATGAGGGCTGATAATCTGGTGGGTCTGGGCCCTGTTTAACATTAATCTACCTCTCAGGTATGGGGAGTTTACAATACTCCTTGCTGGAGAAATGTGGGGAGTAGGCTGTCCTTCCTGACATATGCTGCATTTCAAGGGAGAAAGCAATCTCAATGACATTTCCTCATGAAAACCTGGTAAATGAGAGAACAGCTCTCCTGTGTTTTAAAGTGACTCAGCAGATTTGGGAAATCCGCTAGGTTAGGTTCACTACAGAAGTTCATAGTTGGACGCTTCTTACCTGAATTTTATGTTGTTCTCCGAGTTATTGTCCCTACAGGTGTGCCACATTATCAATCAGAGGGTTTTTTTTGTCAGCAGTGTCTGCAGGTCCACCTGCATGTTACTCATCCTTGTGCTCCAGACCAAAGATACATAGGAAGGCGCCTACCTATTGCCATTCCAGTTCCTTCTCAACTGCCTGTGGCTAGAGACTGAATATTGTGGTGTCCACTAGATTAACCTTTTAGCTATTCATTCTCCATTTCTTTTATTTTCTTTCTTCCTTTTATTTTTAGTACTCTGTTCCTTTTTTTCCTGCACAAGTTTGTGCCTTTGAGGGGAGGGGTTCTGTTCCCTTTTTTGTTGGCCATGGTTATGGCCTCTGCCACCCTCAGCCTTTCCTCACTTATGGCCTCACTTCTGTGGGCTCTGACCCAAACCCTGCCAGACCTGTCATTCAGTAGTGGGCATTCTAAATGCCCCCAGTGCTATAGAGAGTCCCATATCCCATTGAAGTGCAAGGTCTGCTCTGGATTCAAGAGCAGATCAAGGAAACTGAGAGAGGATAGAATGAAACTGCTCTTTATGGAGTGCTCCCTGAGATCTACAGGATCCCATTGCCCCCCCCCCCCTACTTTGGCCTCATCTTCTCAGACTGTTCTGGTGATTTCTTTGGCTCTAGCTCTGTTTAGCAAAAAACAATGGGTAGCTCCAGAGGCCCTGAAAGAAGAAGAGATCTTGGTCTCCTGACAAGGAGTCTAAATGGAGGGAAAAGTCACCCCAGAGACCAGGATCTAAGGAGACTTTGCATCCTGCTGTGGGTACTGCTGAGATTCCTGCTTCCTTCAATACTGAGGACCCGATCTCACTGAAAAAGAACTCCAGCATGCTATGTACTGAAAAATATCTTGGCAAACAACCACGCTTGGCACCAGCCTCTGTACCTTCAGAGTCCTCCAAGCACAAGGACTCTTCAAAGAAACCACCACCGGCCCCAGCTCTGGCACCCTCTGAGGGCCACAGACACGAGGAGTGTGCAGACAGCCCATCTGTACTGTCTCTTTACCACTTGATTCACCTCAGCTTGAGGAGTACTGCCCTGGAATGCTGGTACTGACCTCATTCCTCTCCCATGAGGACCACAGAGTGACAGAGGCTTGAGTCTCCTCTCCTTAGAGACTGAGGGCCTTTCTGCCAACACCAATGTACCAACCAGTACTGCAGCCCTCTCACCCAAAAACTTGGGCACCAGTATCAACTCAGATGCCAATACCTGACTCTCCTTGCCAATACCTGACTACAGTACGCCAGTACTGACTCTCCTTGCCCCTCCATTGGACACAGCGGATGACAAATCTTCAGGATCAGACATCTCTGTCTAAGATTCGACCACCTTCCTATTCCAACATCCTGCCCCAGTGGTGTATCCTGACAATAAGACTCCAAAAACTAGTTGTCATCTATCCCACCAACCCTGGCAGGAACACCCTTGGGATCCTGTTCCTTTCCCATATGTCCTGTCACATTGGGCTTTCTGGAACCCTGGGTCCCCTATGATGACCAATTGTATAGCGTGTTCTTATGTAAAAGGGCCTGTCAAGAGGAGCAGCCACCAGTACCCAGGGAGCCTGCTCCGCAGAGGACTAAGTACTAAGAGTTGAGGAGGAGGCACCTCTCTCCAATAAAATCCTCTTCATCTCCAGATGAAACCATTTTGCTCCCTTCACCATTCAGTATGGATGATCATAAATTTTGTCAAGATCTGATGACTTTGCAAATTCCCTTCTAGGAAATACAGAAGCCCCAGCACTTCCTTGTGGATATTTTCTATACCACGTCTCATGGCAAAATATCCCTGTCTGTTAATGATGCCCTGTTCTCTCCAGCATGTAACGTATGGCAGACATCTGCTATCATCTCACCTACATGGAAGATGGTTGACAAAAAACTGTTCAAGGGCTCCGAATACCATTTTTTCCCATCCCACCGCCCTGGTGGTCAACACAATCAGTGAAAGGAACAGACAGCGCTGGTTGAGATCTACTCCTCATGATAACAAGCTCAAATACCTGGACCTTTTTGGATGCAAGAGTTATTCTTCAGCTGCACTACAGTTCAGTGATGCCTTGTTGGTGAAGTATAACTCCACCAATTACATCAAATTTTCATATTTTATTGACCATCTGCCCCAGGAGCAGATGGACCAATTTCAAGGCCTTATTTCAGAAGAAGAGACAATTGCCAAAGCATCCTTGCAAGCTTCACTCAGTGTGGCTGCCACAGCCTTTCACTTTGTGGCTGCAGTTATATTTATGTGTCGAGGTTCAGGGCTGCAATCCTCTGGTCTTCCTAGAGAAGTGTAGAATACATTAGAAGATCTTCCCTTGGAAGGGCCCAAGCCCTTCAGCAATGAGACAGATGCGTCCCTGAACTCTCACAAAGACCCTGCAATCCTTGGGCATTTACATCCCTGCAACAACAACAACAAAAATATAACAAGTCACAGACAGTCCAACAGTCTCGCCCAGTTCAGTATTTTACTTCCCACAAGCAGTATTCTATTGCTGCCTCCTAGTAACCAACTTCATCCAAGTGACCATTTTGGCTTATTGGTTGACAGTCACGAATCACCACGCTGTATGAATCCTACGCTGTAACATTCTGTCCTCCCTCCACTTATGGGAATTCTCTCTCCCATTTCACACCTTTCTGGGAGCATATCAAACAGATGGATACTGGAAATAATTTCATTAGGATACAGCATCCCATTCAACCACTTCCCCCTTCTTCCTGTCCCTTTTCAGGAATCCTTCTCATCAGGGTCTCTTGAAGCAGGAAGCTCAATCCCTCCTATTACTGAGGGAATTGAATTAGTTCCTCCCAAATTCAACAGAAGAGGGTTTTACATTTTTGCATTCATCTCCCACAAGGATCATCCTCATAGATGCATCCATGCAAGGCTGGGGAGCTCACTTTCAGGACTCCACAGCACAGGGCAAATGGACCCTGTACATCAATATTCTTGAGCTCAGGGCAGTCCAATACATGTCCCTTCACTTCCTACTCAGGATCCAGGGTCACTCCGTAAGAGGCATGACAACAGAACGACGATATACTACATCAACCACCAAGGAGGCACAACATGCCAATCTTTATGTGCAGAGGAAATAAAGCTCTGGAACTGGTGTCTCACCCACCAGATTGACATCTCAGCCCATCTACCAGGTCTGCAGAACACCTTCGTAGACACTCTGAGCAGACATTTCTGCCAGGATCACAAATAAGAACTGAGCAATACTATCTTTCAGAAGACTTTTCTCACCTGGGGTTCTTCAGCGATAGACCTCTTTGTGGCTCCAATACAAAATGCCATCACCTCTGCCTGAGGGGAGGACTTGGTCACAACTCCCTGGAAGATTTCTTCTTCAGCCGTTAGCCTCAGGTTCTGCTATACACTTATCAACACAATTGCTCCTCAGAGTCCTGAATAGGCTGAAACAGCAGAAAGCAGTAGTTATCCTCTTAGCTCCAAAATGGTCAAGACAAATATAGTTCTTACCCCAATCTCTCCTTATTACACCTCTTGACCTGGCTCCTTGATGGCTCTTTGGCCTAGAGCAGGATTGTTCTCTTGAGCTGCAGTGTGTGCTGCTGAATAGTAGGAAGCCTGTCCTAAGGGAAACCTACTGTGAGGGGCCAGACCATATCAGACCGGCTGCTGACCTGCACCCTGACTAACTTCACTGTAACCAGTGAGCCCAGCTGCACTGCCTTGGAGCTGACCGAGTAGCCACAGCTCCTCATTGGCAGCTGGTTTAGCAGCTCTGCTTATAAACCTGGTCTCCCAGCAGATCAGCAGCTGCTAAGTGCATATCGTATCTGTAACTGTGCTTGCCTTGTTCCAATCCCTGCTTCTGCTTTTGCTCCAGCCCATTCCTCATTAGCTTCTGACTTCTGGCTTTGATCTCTGGCTCTGCCCCTGGCCTACAACTCTAGTTTACCCTCTAAAGCCCTGGCATTCAACTTCTGTCCTGGCACTGACCTTGGCTCGTTTCTGGTCTCCGCCCACCCTAGGCCCAGGGTTAAACAGTAGGCTGAACTCTCATTTCAACCACTGGGCCTGACTGAACATGGCTTGGTTGGTGACACCTACCTGCAAAAGTGGAAGCAGTTGAAGGGGTGTCACTTTTTGTGCAACCTGCCACTACCAGATTCCTGAAGGGAGTGGCTAACCTCTTTCCTCACATAGGACAGTCCATGCCACTTTGGAACCTTAATTTAGTTCTCAGTGCCTTGAGAAACCCCCTTTGAACATATGGGAAGTTATTCCCTGCTGCAAAAACCTGCATTCCTCGTAGCCATTGCTTCAGCCAGAAGAATAAGTGAATTGGGAGCTCTTATGGCTGATCCACCATATACTGTGTTCTACCAAGGCAAGGTGACTTTGTCCTCATTCTCACTTTTTATCTGAAGTCTCATCAGACTTTCACATCAACCAGGACTTTCAGCTACTGCTCTTTTTTACCTCAAACCTCATGCTTCAAGGGAAGAGACTAGCCTCAAAACTCTAGATGTGAAAAGAGCCCTTGCTTTCTATCTTGACAAAACTAAACCCTTCAAATCCTCTCCTAGACTTTTTGTCTCCATTTCAGAGAGAATGAAGGGAGCTCCTCTTTTCACCCAAAAACTATCTAAATGCGTCTTAACATGTTACAAAGCGTTTGGGGTACACCCTCCATGTAGGGGACTGCTCATTCCACAAGGATGAAGTCCACCTCTGTAAGAACTGCTTAAGAACATATCATTCCAGACATTTGCAAAGCTGCCTTCTGGTCATTGGTGCACACTTTTTCCCAGCATTATGCTGTTGTTCACACCTCTAGATCAGCTGCAGCTTTTGGTGAGGCTGTGCTCCAAATTGTTCTGAACTTGTCTGCTCAGTACCCTTCTCTGTACCAGAGGTACTGTTTGGGAGTCACCTAACATGGAGCCCCCATAGGAACAATAACTTGAAGGAGACGTTTATTACCTGTACAGTAACTGGAGTTCTTTGAGATATTTTGCCCCTAGGGGTACTCCACTCTGCCCTCCCTTTCCTCTCTGCTTCGGAGTCCTTGCCTTTGAACTTTGGGGTTGAGAAGAAACTGGAGCATTGGCATGTCTGCCCCTCCCTATATATTCTCCATCTGGAGCATGAAGATGTGTAGGGTGCAGGCACAGACCCGTGGATGCTGCTCCTCAAAAATCTCTGATGGAAGGTGCATGGGTGTGCATGCACACACATGGTGCACCCATAGGGTCAAAACATCTTGAAGAACTCCAGTTACTGTAGAGGTAAGAAATCTCTCCTTTTCTTCCCCAGTAGAGTTTATAAATGCGCTATTTAGAGATGGTCTTATGGTTTAGGCCTGTCTGTAATGTTTTATGGGAATGGTTTTGTTTTTGTTAATCCCCATACAATATCATTAAACATGGAGTCATAATGGCCAATGAGACTCCATCTTCTTGTTGTGTTCAGGCAGCATGTGCAGTACCTCCCTGACATATTTAGACAAGCCAAAAACTATTTAGAGTAGTTTTCAGTGCTGTTCAGACCATCTGTACCTTGGAAAAGGAGGAATTTTCAGATCAGTATTATGTTCAGTACATAGTTATGTCCTTGAAAGAAATTCTACTTGAAAGTGTTTCTGCTGGTTCTGGTTTGTTAGTTGGTTTTGGAACAGAAGAACTGGCCCATTGATCTACTAGTTCTTGAGGTTAGTGGGCCTTCAATTAAAATCAATAGAGCCCAATAGAAACTGACAGAGGCCTACAGAATGATTCTAATGGAATGTACTGGAATGTCCAACAGGGCTGAGACAAGAATAATTATGAATCAACCATGTAGCCATGATGTGTAAGACCACAGGAGTTCTATGTTTTTTAAAATTTTGCTAAAGAGGAAACTAAACTGATAGGGAGAAATTTTTTGGAAACTGAATAGACAAGATTTCTGTTTAATTGGGAAGTGCCGGGATTAAGTTATCAAATGGCAAAAAGTATTGTGAGGCTGCACATCACAACTGACCAGTAACTTCTGGGGATAGTCCGACTCTAAGGGTTTGGTTACACTTAAATTTTATAGCGCTCTAACTTGCTGGCTCGGGGGAGTGAAAAATCACCCCCCTGAGCGAAGTCAGAGCGCTTTAAAGCGCTAGTGTAAACAGGCTCCGAGCGCTGGGAGCTAATCCCCTCGTGGAGGTGGATTACCAGGAGCGCTGAGAGAGCTCTCTCCCAGCGCTCGTGCGCGACCACGCTCGCACTTCAAAGCACTGCTGCGGGAGCACTTTGAAGTTTCCAGTGTAGCCATGCCCTAAGTGAACAATACCAGCGGGAAAGGAGCAATGCTGTACTTGCTTCAGAAAGATATTGGAAATTCCAGTTGGGGGAGATACCTTCAGTCCCATTGAAACCATCCCTAGCTTACAGTCTCAGTATTCAGAGATAATACTGTGCATGTGAGATTGATTGATTGTTCATTGATTTACAGGGAGCTGGAGTTGTCATTTGTGCCGAGAACTACTCAGAGAGAGAGCATCAGCTTTTGGCTTTCAAGCCTGAGGAGCTCCAGGGATCAAGATGCAATTTGCTTCTGGAGTTGTGGTACCAGCGCACAGTTCCCATCCAGAACACAAAGACACACACATGCACGCACACACACACATCGAAGAGAATGGACACTCAAGTATAAGAAGAGATAACAATGGTATTTATTGTCAAAGAGTAGATTTCACTAATATAGTACCTCCTGGGTTCTACTAGAAGAAACATGTTCTCCTTTTAATGCTCCAAATGGAATCTTTTCACTACTGTGCATGGTTGATGCTGTATTGTAATAGGCTCACATGCATTATGTTAAGGGGGAAATTGTTACACTGATACCGAGAAGTAGATTTTGTGTGGCCTTGTGCTTTTTTGTTTGGTCTTCTTTGTAAACAAAGAAATAGCAACATAGTTCCCAAAGCACTACTGATGAGCTACTTTGGTTGGGATGTTGGGAACTGTTACTCCTCACAGGCTTGACTGAAAACCGAAAACTGAAAACCTCACAGGCTTGACTGAAAACTGAAAAACTGCAACACTGTGTAGTTCTAGAGAGGCTTTGAAGGTTGTGGTAGCTCCCTTCTTCCTGAGTTGTGACTAACACGAGCATATTGCCACTGAGACAGGAACTGATCTAAAATTCCTTGGGTGACCGTTTCTTTGCTGAATCGTCAAACCCTTTGCTTTTTACTGATATTAGAAATTTGATTTTAGTGTAAATGAAAGAAGAATAGAATATATATAGATTCAGAGGCACCTACTCCACCCCTCTCCAGTTTCTTTTAATGTTCAGGGAGACCATCTTAAAGTGGCGCTGTTATTAAGATCAGATCCAAAAGGCTGTTTTTTATTTGTAAAGAGGTGAGGAGTAATGGTTTACAGAACCTGAAAAGAAAGATTGCCATGGTGATTTTTAAATTTAAATAAAAATAGCTTTCCTTTATTTAAACAGTCCCCTGATGTGTAGCACACCCAAACAAAATAGCACTGAGCTCATGTATCAGAACCAGGAAGCATCACTGTAATTCACTGTATTGTCACTGTCCAAACTGAGTGAAATAGAGAAAAGTGAACAACAACAAAACAAAAGCATCAATGGAGAATAAGTATTTTTTAAACAGTCTTCTCCATTTCAGTAATCTAAGGGGTCAAACATGTAAGGACTATTTTTTAAAAATATGATTTTTAAAGTTGCAAATATGCTACTCCTGATTCTATCAAGTATACAAGAATTGTTCTACAGTATCTTGGGTGTGACATATAAAATCTGTTTATAAACAGATTTAAAAGATTGCATGAGAGGAGGAATGTAGTATAGGTTGATGAATCCCAAGCAGCATGAGTGGCTCAGGATGCCTATGCAAGGTGGTAAGGACACTAAGATTGCATTTGGGATATACGTATTAATTGAAGCCCCTCTGCAAAATTATTCACCCTGAGGATTTAAATTAACATTGTCAAAATAAATGTAATTTAATTTAAAAAAGGTCCTTCCCTGTGTTACTAATAACACCTCAGACTGTTAAACTTAAATGAATTGTATACATTTTAATTTACTTTTAATTTTTTATGTGGTTTGTTTAGCTTTTTCACTTCTTTCAGCTTAGACACAGAAACCAGTCTGGTCAGTTTCTCAATCTTGTTCTCGTGGACTCACACATAGTGCAGTTGTGTGTGAGTTCACAAAACTGCCCTAGAATTGTTTCAATCCCACGAAAACTATTTTCTTTACATTCCAAGGTGGTACCTGAGCACTTTATTTCTAGCCCTATTGCACCAAATCTACCCCTTGTGCAGCTCTATTGTCTTCCCCTGGGATTAATTTAATCCATTAGTAGGGGACAATGCCCAAATGTAGCGTCCCAAAACTACGAGATAGTGTCAGTTGAAAAGTGTGCAAAAATCATCTTTCTGACACACATTGGGAGGGGAAGATAGGAGCTTAAATCTCTACTACAGGCCTACATTATACAATCCTAGACCATCAAATAGCATTTGTGTCCACACAGCTACAATAAGATGATTTACATACTATTTAAACAAAACCATTTAAAAACTTTAAATGACCAACTTTCTTTCAGCCTCATTGGGCAACATGCTGAAGCACTTCAAACTATTCATCCCCATTGTCTCATCCAAATCTCTGAGCGGCTTTCTTTTCAGCTCCCTCCTGTCTGTTAGAATCCCCCTAGGAAGAGCTAATGGAGTCTGTCACATTTCTCCAATGCTCCCATGCACGTGGCCTTCTTAGTTTCCCTCGGCGGATGTGCTGGATCCATAACTAGAGACTGAGTCGGATACAAGATGCTAGAGGTGCCCACACCTTTTGGTACAGAAAACTGCACTGGCAGCTTGCCAGGAGCTGGATGGCCACAGCTTATTTGCACACACATTTGCATACATTAGTTAAGCAAAATAAATTGCCATGACTTTCATATTTGCTGCCTGTTGCAGTTAAACCCTCACGAAAATTTACAAGTGTTTAGCAGTGTCATCTCCACCTTGCACATCCAGGGAGACTGCAGCAGCAGCCCACATCCTAAGATTCCAGGAGCCTCAGTTGGCCTATCAGCTGTACCTTGTGTCCCTCTACTCAAAGCATTAACAAGAACTGATTGTGTTAGAGCCTCTGCATTCCATATCCAATCTACCAAGGCAGAGTTAGTTGCTACAGTCCAGAATGCACATGTATGAGTTCAGATTAATAGTAACTTTCTTGTCATGGTCCAGTTACACTTCATTCATTCAGGCTTTACTCTCACATATCTACATGCACAGACAGTTCCAGTTAACTTCTAGCAGCCTGATAAATCCAAAGCTTTCACTTCTCTGACATTAAGATGCTCCTGCAACTTATATCTCCCCGCTTCACAGCCTTATTCTTAGGCAATAGGCAGGTACATTCCACTCAGTAATAATTCTTAGCATGTACATAGGGCTGGACAACTTCAAAGTGTTGAAAACATTCATTATTTAATCTACACAATACCCATTATGTAAATAGTGCTGTACCCATTTTACAGAGACACAGAAAAATTATACCATGTCTTGCTCATAGTCATACAGTGAAAAAGTGGATTCACAGTCAGCTTTTTTAACCATCGGACACATTTCCTTATGCTACTCCTTTGCTGTACACTTATTTAAAGGAACAATCCACAATAAGGCAGTTTTCGAAACCCAGCATAATCATGACATTCTCACAGGAGAACTAGGGAAATGTGGTCCAGAGTAAATTACTTTAAAGTGGGTGCACAATCGGTTGAAAGACAGTAATCAAAGAGTAGTTATCAATGTTCACTGTCAAACTGGGGGTGGGGGTGGGGTGGTATATCTGGTGGTGTTCTGTCCTGAGTCTGGTACTAGTCAATATTTTCATTAATGTCTGAGATAATGGAGTGGAGAGTATGCTTGTAAAATCTCTGGATGACACCAAGATGGGAGGGGTTGCAAGCACTTTGGAGGACAGGATTAAATTTCAAAATGACCTTGACAAATTAAAGAATTGGACTGAAATCAACAAGAGGAAATTCAATTAAGACAAGTGCAAAGTACTTCACTTATAAGGAAAAATCAAATGCACATCTACAAAGTGGGGAATAACTAGCTAGGTGGAAGTACTGCTGAAAAGGATCTGGGGGTTATAGTAGATAACAAATTAAATATGAGTCAATGTGATGTAGTTGCTAAGCAGGTTAATATCATTCTGAGATGTATTAACAGGAGCCTTGTATGAAAGACACAGGAGGTAATTGTCCTGCTTTGCTCAGCAATGGTGAGATTTCAGCTGGAGTATTGTCATAGAATCATAGAATATCAGGGTTGGAAGGGACCCCTGAAGGTCATCTAGTCCAACCCCCTGCTTGAAGCAGGACCAATTCCCAGTTAAATCATCCCAGCCAGGGCTTTGTCAAGCCTGACCTTAAAAACCTCTAAGGAAGGAGATTCTACCACCTCCCTAGGTAACGCATTCCAGTGTTTCACCACCCTCTTAGTGAAAAAGTATTTCCTAATATCCAATCTAAACCTCCCCCACTGCAGCTTGAGACCATTACTCCTCGTTCTGTCATCTGCTACCATTGAGAACAGTCTAGAGCCATCCTCTTTGGAACCCCCTTTCAGGTAGTTGAAAGCAGCTATCAAATCCCCCCTCATTCTTCTCTTCTGCAGGCTAAACAATCCCAGCTCCCTCAGCCTCTCCTCATAAGTCATGTGTTCTAGACCCCTAATCATTTTTGTTGCCCTTCGCTGGACTCTCTCCAATTTATCCACATCCTTCTTGTAGTGTGGGGCCCAAAACTGGACACAGTACTCCAGATGAGGCCTCACCAATGTCGAATAGAGGGGAACGATCATGTCCCTCGATCTGCTCGCTATGCCCCTACTTATACATCCCAAAATGCCATTGGCCTTCTTGGCAACAAGGGCACCCTTGACTCATATCCAGCTTCTTGTCCACTGTCACCCCTAGGTCCTTTTCCGCAGAACTGCTGCCTAGCCATTCGGTCCCTAGTCTGTAGCGGTGCATTGGATTCTTCCATCCTAAGTGCAGGACCCTGCACTTATCCTTATTGAACCTCATCAGATTTCTTTTGGCCCAATCCTCCAATTTGTCTAGGTCCTTCTGTATCCTATCCCTCCCCTCCAGCGTATCTACCACTCCTCCCAGTTTAGTATCATCCGCAAATTTGCTGAGAGCGCAATCCACACCATCCTCCAGATCATTTATGAAGATATTGAACAAAACCGGCCCCAGGACCGACCCTTGGGTCACTCCACTTGATACCGGCTGCCAACTAGACATGGAGCCATTGATCACTACCCGTTGAGCCCGACAATCTAGCCAGCTTTCTACCCACCTTATAGTGCATTCATCCAGCCCATACTTCCTTAACTTGCTGACAAGAATACTGTGGGAGACCGTGTCAAAAGCTTTGCTAAAGTCAAGAAACAATACATCCACTGCTTTCCCTTCATCCACAGAACCAGTAATCTCATCATAAAAGGCGATTAGATTAGTCAGGCATGACCTTCCCTTGGTGAATCCATGCTGGCTGTTCCTGATCACTTTCCTCTCATGCAAGTGCTTCAGGATTGATTCTTTGAGGACCTGCTCCATGATTTTTCGAGGGACTGAGGTGAGGCTGACTGGCCTGTAGTTCCCAGGATCCTCCTTCTTCCCTTTTTTAAAGATTGGCACTACATTAGCCTTTTTCCAGTCATCCGGGACTTCCCCCGTTCGCCACGAGTTTTCAAAGATAATGGCCAATGGCTCTGCAATCACAGCCGCCAATTCCTTCAGCACTCTCGGATGCAACTCGTCCGGCCCCATGGACTTGTGCATGTCCAGCTTTTCTAAATAGTCCCTAACCACCTCTATCTCCACAGAGGGCTGGCCATCTCTTCCCCATTTTGTGGTGCCCAGTGCAGCAGTCTGGGAGCTGACCTTGTTAGTGAAAACAGAGGCAAAAAAAGCATTGAGTACATTAGCTTTTTCCACATCCTCTGTCACTAGGTTGCCTCCCTCATTCAGTAAGGGGCCCACACTTTCCTTGGCTTTCTTCTTGTTGCCAACATACCTGAAAAAACCCTTCTTGTTACTCTTGACATCTCTCGCTAGCTGCAGCTCCAGGTGCGATTTGGCCCTCCTGATTTCATTCCTGATTTCATTTCATTGTATCCAGTGCTGGGCACCACAGTTTAGGAATGATGTTGAAAAATTGGAGAGAGTTCAGAGGAGCACCAAAATTATAAAAGGTTTAGAAAACCTGTGAGGAAAGGTTAAAAAAACAACTGGGCATGTTTAGTCTTCAAAAAAGAATAAGAGTCTTCAACTATGTTAAGGGCTGTTATAAAGAAGACAGTGATCAATTGTTCTCCATGTCCACTGAATATAGGAAAAGAAGTAATGGGCTTGATCTGTAGAAAGGCAGATTTAGGTTAGACATTAGGAAAACCTTTCTAATCATACAAGCATTTAAGCTGTGGAAGAGGTTCCAAGGGAGTGGGGTGGAATCCTCATCACTGGAAGTTTCTAAGAATAGGTTAGACAAACACCTGTCAGGGATGGTCTGGTTTTACTTGGTCCTGTGTTAGTGCAGGGGCTGGACCTGTTGAGGTCTCATCCAGCTTTACACTTCTGTGGTTTGATGATTCTAAGCTCTAGTGTAAGGGAAAAACATTCTGGGGACTCTGTTGTCATGCTTCCCTCTCTTTTTTTCATGGCAGGAAGTAACATTGAATAAATGTCCGTTCAAAGTTGAACAATTTTCACCATTTTTATTTGTTTCTTGGGAATGTTGTTCTTAGAGGCTTTTAAAAAACTAAATCGGTACATTAAAAAGTAAATGGTTGTGATTACAGTAAAGGGGTTTTTCCATTGGCTCTGGCACAGCTGTGTGAGTCGTTAGTGGTACTTGATGCGAACCAAATACTGAGGGTTAGACTAGGATAAAAAGGTGAGTGTTTTAAAACTGCTAGTGAATAAATGTGAACTGATACTTTTAAAAACTCCAGTATACAGTATTTTAATGCAGATTGGAGCAAACTACCAAGGGAAATGATGGATTCTCTATCTCTTGAAGTGCTCAGATCAAGACTGGATGCCTTGTTAGTTGATGTGCTTTAGTCAAACACAATTACAGTCAAACAGTTAGTCAAACACAGGAGTAACTGGGTGAAATTCTATGGTCTGTGACATAGATCAGATTAGATCAGCAAATCTCAACCAGGGGTTTTTGGGGGGCCGCAAGCAGGTTTCAGTGGGTCCGCTGAGCAGGGCCAGCATTAGACTCACTGGAGCCCAGGACAGAGTGCTGAAGCCCTGCCGCGTAGGGCTGAAGCCTGGGACCCTGAGCCTTGCTACCCAGAGTTGAAGCTGAAGGCTGAGCAATTTAGCTTTGCGGGACCCCCTGTGGCAATTACCCTGCTTGCTACCCCCTAACCCCAACCCTGGCTTTTATATGCAGAAAAACAGTTGTGGCATGGGGGGGCCATGGAGTTTTAAAAGCATGCTGTGGGGCCCTCAGAAAGAAAAAGGTTAAGAACCCCTGGATTAGATCATCCATTAATGGTCCCTTCTGGCTTAAACTCTAATGATCTATTGAAACACATGATAGCTGGTTGAGGTGACGTGAAAATACAGCTCCTCTCTGTACCAGGGCCCTGAAATATTTTTCATTAAAACATATTTGGTCACACATTTTAACCCATCCTCCCCCATCTTTTATCCTATTTTAGATGAGCCCTTAAAGTGCAGTTATGGGAAATGATTCACCTGTGTTGGGACAGTGAGTTGCAAACTGCTTCCTGTGTGCCCATGGGAGCAATTACATTGAAAGAGACAGCCTAGCACCTCAGCTGTCCTACCCTAGGGATTCTTCCAGAGAGGAGCAACTATCAACTCAGCTACACTGGGTGAGGCTGTCCAGGAGATGTGTTGAATCCCCCAGCCAGCTTGGTCCTGGCCCTTCCGTGTTCTTGGCTCTACTGACTGGATCCTGGTCCAGGAAACCAGTGAGTAAGTGAATCAGGCGCATAGTCAGAAAAGGTGACTGTATCTAAGCAGTACCAACCCATGCAACAGATCTCTTCCCTGTGTATATCTGAGTCAGATGTGCTTATTTTACTATCACAAGCAAATACTCCCCGTTAGCCCTTCAGAGCTAATACAGCTATGGAAACATGAATAAGATCCTATTCTCCCACAGGGAGCATCAATAAAATTGTCAGTAGCTTGATTTTGAGATCCAAGATTGAGTTTGCAGCATTGACAGCAAAACCACGACTTAGCTTTTAAATGAGTCACATTTGATGCAGAAGCAAAGAGAGAAAACGAAAGATGGGATCATCCAATTACATAGTCCTGTGTCTGACTAGAACCACAATTCACTCTGCTTGGAGGGAAGTTTCTGTTACTACCCTGAGCTGGAAAGAGGTGCCAAAGAATGGCATATAATTAGTTTGGATTTCACGGTGACTGCTCCATGAGAGCCTTAATATTGTGTAGTTTGGTGGTTGGTTTGGGTTGGGGTTTTGTTTTTGTTTTGTTTTTTGTGACCATGGCACATTTAACCTTTAGTTCTTCCCCTTTAGTGCAGGGCCTGAAAATAATTAACAGTTACTAAAAAGGAAAATGAGGGTGCTGCATTTTTTCCCTTCCCTCTCACAAAGAAAGGAATATTTGCATTCTTGACCAACAGCCTACAGTGATTGTATTGTGTGACTACCGGTGAGTCCCTCTTCATTTTACCTAGCATTGTGCTCACCTCAGAGTTAACAGGATTTTGTACTTTCATAACGTCTTGCATCGGAGGCACTCAAAGAGCTTTACAAACAGTAAATTTTACCTCATGCCACCCAAAGGGCTTTTTCAAAAGCACCTGTTAATTTTGAGTATCTCAGTTTTTAGGTTCCCCGACTTGAGATTGTGCACTGCTTTCCGCAGTTGTTGAGCGCCAACTCCAGTTGAATATAGCCATATGCTAACACAGCTATCAGCATTGGTCAGGGTGGAGGGTGTCCATTTTCTAGAATGTGTTTTATTGCTAGCGTGGTTGGGGCAGCACTATCCTTTAACTGTGTTAGCAAATAGTGGTTTAGCTCAGGTCTTGAGACTGGAAAGCCACTGTTAAACTGCATTCGTATGAAGCAAACATTTCTCCCCGTGGCTTTTAAACTGCTATTCCCAAGCTTCTCTCCTGCACTCTGAAAGGGGTTTATTACACTCTGACTCAAAAAGATAATTTCCTACACAGCATATTAGGTGTGGGGCTGTTGTGTTTTCTCTTTATCTGCTGTCTGTTTTTTGAAAGGGGTCATACAGGAGGGAGAAAAAAGGATGAATGTGGAAAGAAATATGAATTAAGGCTGTCACTGCTGCAGGGCTAGTGTACCTTGTGCACAATGATGTTCCAGGGGATTATTTTCTTCAGTGCAGCTGTTTAATTCAAAGCTCTTGCATCAAAGTAGTTTTCTTAAGCTTGGCCTACACTTAAAAAAATTTAGATCAACATAGCAGCGGCTCTCAGGGGTGTGTAAAATCCACACCTCTGAGTGCTGTAGCTATGCTGACCTAACCCCCAGTGTTGGCACAGCTAGGTCAACAGAAGAATGCTTCCATCAACCTAGCTACCATCACCTGGTGCGGTGGAGTTCCTACAGCAATGGAAAAACCTCTTCTATCAGCATAGGCTGCGTCTACACTACAGAGGTTATGCCAGCATAGCTGCAGCATTGTAGCTATGGTGCTGTAGTCCCCGTAGTATAGATGTGGCCATAGAAACAACTAAAACAAGGGATTGTAGGAAAGTATTTCAAACACCATGGAGCAATAGGAATCATTTAGAGTGGTACATGAGGGTAGAACTAGCAGTAACAGGAAGACAAATGAGAAAGGGAAAATTTAGATTAACAGAAAGATCTCCTTCAGCAAGATCTATCTATCCAATATATCTATGACTAAACACTGAAATTTGTTACTCTAAGAAATAGTCTTCCAAGGGAAAAGTGAAAGAAGCGGCATTGCTTCAGTTCAGACATTAAAAACTAGTCCGGATAAAACAATGGAAATAACACAATCGGGAACAAATCTGCATCAGGCCCTGGGAATAGACTTTGTAAAGCCAAAGGAGGACAAGATTTCAAGATGGAGAAGACGGACAATTATACCTAAGGCAGCCAATGGGCTGAGGAGGGTGAAATATTCACCCTGAAATTTAGCAAGGAAGAGGTTGTTAGAGACTCTGCTGAAAGCAGTTTCAGTGGAGTGTAGAAAGTGGAAGCCAGATTGGAGAGGCTCGCACTGTTATCTTGTGATCCACCTGTCCATCTGTTGTGTGCACCTGTTGTCTCTCACTGTAGACTCGGAATGTATGCCCTGCGGTGCAGGGACCCCCTTTTGCTATAAACCTGTACAATGCTTAGCACAATGAGTCAGGGCCTCTAAGATGCTTCCGCATTACAAATAAATAACATGTCTTTCCCATCTCCAGTTCCATGAGACTCTGTTCAAACTGTTGTTGAGACTGTTGCATGAAACCTCTAATCTGGCAGGAGCCAAATTTGGGATCTGAATGGAGGGGAGGAGCTGAAGCAATGGAGAAGGGGCAGCACTCACGCAGTTCATGATAAACCTCTCCAAAGATTTCATTGCTAACATCAGACCAGTTCATAGTTTAATGTGTTAATGTTTTAGGACAGGGAAAGCTGAGTATGGGCTCATTTTATTTCACCCAATCCCAGGACTAAATCTGTGGCATTCTCTCTCTCTCTCACACACTCGCACCCCCTCACGCCCACGATGTCCTTTGTGTTTTCCTGATGTGAACCCTGTGTGCCAGCAACCTATGCTAGATATGGTTCTTAACTCCCCTGCTACTGCAGCAGCCACAATAACTGCAGGAAATATAATGTAGTCTATACAAGCTCTGCCACAGTTCAAAACCACAGTGTCTCTACTAAAATGACCAGCAGTGAAATAATTAACCATATGTACATTTTAATTGTCATCTTTGGGCTTCAGCATTAACAAGCAATTGAACTAAATGGAGCAAGTTCCGTCTCTCAGAACTATTGTTTCTCTCTGCCTGTGTGCAGGCTTAGGAAATAAACTCTACTTTAAGTTACTTGGGAGGTTTTCTTCACAGCCAGAAGGGATAGAATTTTTGTTTTGGTCCATTGGAATCAGGAAATCTCATTGTTATTCCCAGTTCTGCCAAAGACTTGATATATGATCATGAA